ATTCTTTCACAGAATTCGTATGAAACTACTGATGGGGTTAAGTTGGCAGTATTTTATGCCATGATTTCCGTTATTTAAATACTGTGCGTTAGATTGAATCACAATGAAAGGATCGTCTTGGCGGTCTGAAGCTACATTTGCCCTAATTATTTCGAATTTTTAAAGTCAATTAATGAGGTGGTTTTAAGCACTGAGGAAATTGAATGAAAACGATCTTCGGGAGAAAGGATATTGAGTGTATACCTTACCACAAACCACCCATGTCGTGGTGTCAATATTGTATGTAATTAGCTTTTCTACATTATAAAATAACTTGAAATTTGCCGACTGAATAAGTGGATAGAAATTAAAATATGGTCTTACTCTTATTCCTTATCACCTCTATGCTATCCCCTAGTGAAGCGCCTGCGAAGTGTGGAATGCTAACCTTTTTGTTGAGCTACCACTGCCACTATCACACGGAAATCGTCCGCCCATCACAATGTGATTGTGCAACCGAAGAAGGAAGCAGACGCCTAATAAACGCGCAGCTTTGAATAAAGGTCACAGCCGTTAAAAGATGGATTTCATTACAAATAAGGGTTAGTTGTACTATTAACAGGAATGTTGAAAATTGAGTAGAATCAATGTTACGACATCCACCGCTCAACCGATGAATTTATTTGTCGATTCCACTTAAAATTTACTTTGCTTTATCAAGAGCTTGATCTAAGTCATGATGTAGCTAACGTACTTTCCAGAATAATGCAATCTTTACTTGATAATTCAGTGTATGGTCCATTGCCTCCGGGGTGTTATCACAACAGCACAAAATAAATTAATGTATTTCCTTTGTTAAATACCATTTGAAAAAAAACATTGGAACCTTACCCTTGAGGGAAAGAAGTATGATATTTATGCAGATGAACTTCAAACAATATTTAGAACCTTGTACAGGAGCATTAATACGCTTACTTATCAGCACTGTGCGAGTATGCTATAATAGTATATTTCCTTATAAGCCTTAAAAGCCACTTAGTTACTTAACCCGCCAATCGAATACGACGTGGGAGTCTCCAATTTCTTCAGCGTTCATTCCCTACCTTGAGGAGGAATAACTGTGACAGTTTGTGGCTCGGTAATTTACGGTGCAGTGAATCTTGTGGGTGGTATGAGTGCGTGTTATGCAGTAAAGGCGTACTCATCTGCATGGGATGCAATTAAAGTAAGCAGGACCATTCAAAATGTTTAGTTTTAAAATTCCTCACGAATTTTCGATAGTTCTTATTCTCTCCCTTCCCAGGGTGTAATTGTGCTTTTTAACTTAAATCAAATCAGCACAAATGAATAATTCTTATACTAGTATTTAATGCTACTGAGCCATTTTTTTCTTCCCACTTTGGGGAATTCGATTCCGCAACACATCACGCCGAAGTGATTAATAGAAATGCGCTTCGAGGATATACATATTGCCGCATTTGAATTTTATGGGAAGATGAAAGGTATCACATCATTTACAATGTTGACTATATGTGTCAATATGAATTAAAAATCCGTTGTGCGCATTAAATGGGCTGGAAAAAAATTTCTCCCTACTCAATATTATAAGTGGCAGTCGGTAATTGCAGTGTAATAGAATGATATTGGGCTTTAACAAATACCCGACTAGCAAATTGCCTGGATAGAGAATACAGTACTGTATTATCCTCCTAAAAACACTGTGTATACTTATCTATCTTCAGAGGGTGTACTTAGTAGCAGTGATTTCTTACCTCGCATCGAATTCTGAATAGAGATGCATACAAAACAAAGGCGTGTAAGGCACCTTTGTACTTCTTAAAAGAAGGAAAAAGAATTTACTGGTCGGAATTCCAAGATCCTGTTTGATGCAGTGAACTGTAACGTCTAAATGCTTTCGGTTGATATTACAAGGTACAACGGATTTCCAAGATAGATAAGGACTGAAGTACTAGAAGCAGGAATAGCACGATTTGAACCAAAACACAATTATATCCCAGGAGTAAAATTTACCTGGTAGCCAAAATCAAAATAAGAAACACATTAGTGTGAAAATCCTTCATGATTATAATCATCCTAATGTTTGGGCATTTTGCTATCTCAAATCCGCACCCTATTTTAGTCGTATTTTATATATATTGTAATATTTACTTATCCTTAGCCTTACAAGGAACTTGTTTCATCCGACGTTGATAACCAGAAATAGCCAGAAATAGTGTCGCAAACTTGGGAGCAACTGTATCTCAATCACTAAAAGGTGCCACATCACACTTAGAAAAAGTGGCTATTCCAGGCTTGTACTGCTTAGGTGAGTTAGGGTTACGGCCGCTTGTGGCCACATTACATAAACAATTAAAGCTGACGACCACCCTGGTTAGTTGAGTAAATCAAAATAATGCCTGGACTTACACTTCTCGAAAATGCCAAACACACCCGCAGAACCTTGACCCGAAACTTCGCAACCATTTGAACCCCATGCTAACTGAATGACGGCACGTCCTGAATACCTTACTATCATAATATTTAGTCCAAACGTGTACACCACGGCATTCCATTCAAAAATACATAACTCATTTGTTTTTTAAGATAAGAACCGACTACGCAAAAGGGCCACCAGTAGCATGACATCCAACTCCCCGATCTGACAAACCTCAGGCTTTTTACTATAATTGCGAGAACTTGAACCTTACCACAAAGATGCTATCAGTACCCAAACCAGTAAGAACTTTACACTCTCGGTTAGTTAACCTACTAATTACTCACATTTTAATGGCGAGACCGTACACACGCGGCCGCAGACTTCCCGCTCAGAACGACTCACTGGGCGTACAACAGGTTGCTTTACTGCCGATTACACGCAAAAGTTGGAACCAGTAAGAGCGATGGTTGAAAGATTCACCACACTAACGGCGTCCACATACTCCAACCGCACCGGTACGAGAAAACAAAATACCGTCTCAATCCAAATCCAGGGATATCGGATTCGACACCCTAGTGCGAGATGGTTCCATCAACAGAACGAAACGACTTATAACAGAAACCGCCGCAGATAAACTGAAAGAGCTGCGCCACTTAAAGTCTGATAACTTTGTTACACCCTTTAAGTGCCTACAGGGAAAAAGTCCAACCAACAAGCATACTCTAGATGCCGCATCACAAAGGCATTTAAAACAATCACACACATGGCGAGGGAGACAGGCACCCAGTCTACATAAGGGGTGGAGGTGGTGGTGGTGGAGGAGGGATCCCAGCTCCCGCCAAGCCCCACGGCTGGACCCCACCTGCCAACTGCGGTGGAGGAGGCGGTGGAGGTGGAGCATGGAACGCCGCGTCCGTAGTGGCAAAGAGAGTTGGCGGAGGTGGTGGTGGCGGTGGAGGCATCAGTCCCGTTCCAGCGGCTCCCAACATCGGGGGCGGCGGAGGTGGCGGGGGAGCCAGCGATATTGTCGGGGGAGGTGGCGGTGGCGGAGGCATCAGCATAGAGGCGGCACCGGCTGCGGTGAGTGTCGAGAACGCCGCCGGATGTTGCACTGCACCCGGAATACCCGCGGTAGCCGCGGCCAGAAGAGTTGGAGGTGGTGGGGGTGGAGGGATGGGGGCATCCGCAAAGTGCTGGTGTGGGCGATCAGCCTAAACAAAGAAGCAAAACAACCGCTATATGAAGCGCCACATGTAAAAGAACAATTCTTCTCCAACAATTGATTACTTGGGAGAGCGGACTCTGAGCAGCGAGAAGACGTTCAGCTGCCGATCCATGACGCTCCCCTTTGCTATCCTTTTTAAAAGCGTAGGAGATTGTAATGGCTCGGTTGCACAGATACTGCCCATTCATAGCCTCAATCGCAGCGTCACTGGCTTCAAAGCTGGCATAGTTTATAAAGGCATAACCTTTTGAATTGCCAGTTTCAGGGTCGCGCATGATTTTCGGGGTTTGAAGGATGACACCAAAGGCGCTGAAAGTGTCGTAGAGCAATTTTTCATCCACCTCGGGGTCCAGATTGCCAATGAAAATGTTGGCACCGATATCCAGATTCTTCTGATGGGCACTGGCTTTGTTTACGCGAATGGGTTTGTTGTAAAGTTTAATCATGTTCATTATTCTCATCGCGTAGTCTGCATCTTCTTCGGATAAGAATTCGACGAAACCATATCTAGCAAACCACAAATGCATCATAGAGATAGCAAAATACACGAATTAAGTTACACTACTTCGACAGAACCTTATCATTCTTTAATAAACCACAAAGATCGGGGCATGAAAGGAAGGGATTTTTAATAATAACCAAAACAGCAGAAATAAAAGGCAACGACGATCCGGGCTAGAGAAAAAACGGAGCAGAACGCAGACAAGAATTTCAAATTTCATTGGTAAGAACCTATTCCAGAAGAGCTGTCAAACACAATTAGAAAGACATCAACCGGACCATTTTAGGGCATAAATGCCATACAAAAAGAATTAAGGGAATTTTTTACACTTTTATGGATTCTAAAGTAATCAGATCAAAATCACGGATGCGTGTCTAAAAGTCATGCGTTCCACATTACCACTTCAAGAAAAAGTACTAAAAACAACAACAAACTAAAACACTAGAGATGATAAAGCGAATACGCATTAGAAAAGTAGAAAGCGAGCAGCCACACCCTTGATGCTGTCCTGTTATCCGATCCTTAGGCATGTGAACGTTTACAACAGGCCCCGCCTGCAGAAAAAGCTCCCAGAGTATTGCTTCCTTTGTTTTCTCATCCAGCCCACCCACGTATATAGTAGCATCCTGATTGCGCTCCTCCACGGGTCCTGTGGCCATTGCGAACAAGAGCAGGTCTTTAAATGCGGTTTACTCGAATAGTGCGGTCACTTCGTTTAAGCGTTAAAAGCATTTAAAGGAAACTTTTTATTTTACCACAAGCTGTTGATAAAACTATTTTATTTAGTAATTGCTCAGAAGTCAGCAATATACGTGTGTATAAAAAATGTCCTTGTGGTGCACAGACATTGTGTTATTTAATAAACCTTCAGAATATACTACGATTCACCCCACTTTAAACAGATATTTCGTAAATACAAAAGAACATGATCTTTTCCCACCTTAGTTGACAGTTTAGATTGGTTAACCAACCTTTCAGAATTGAAATTGAAGCTTTATTTCACTCCTGTATTGCATCTCACGATAGCTTTCACAAATCCTTATCCCTTATTTGAAAGTTTTGCTGCTACTCACTCAGAATATGCTGTTCTGCGCCTTAAGTAAGATTTTTGCTTGCTTTTTTTCGTAATAATTGCACTAAGTTCACTTTCTTTCTGGATCAAATTCTATTGGTTTGTGACAAATCTCATGTATTATTGAGACAGGGATTATAGAGGCGTGTTTTGCCTAATTTTTTGTCTAGTTATGCATTATAGTACATGTATACTTAAATTGCCGCTAATCTTACTTCCGCCAGGCGCCATAGCCCGAGTTATGTCAGTAGCCTCTCCGCCCTTCTGTATCGCAGTACTACGGTCTCTGTTATGCAACTGCAGTACACACGTTGTTTAAATGTACGTTCTAGAAGCAAATGTTTCAGCAAGCACTGATTTTGTAGCGGGGGATCGTCAGACTTTCCCCAGGCAGAAGAGAGTTCAAAACACAGATTCCCTTGAACCTACACTCGCTTACATCTATATTTACCAATAAACAAGCCCTAGCCCAATCAATCCGTTCGTTCAAGTGGGTTTCAAAGCCACTACTGTGATTTCTTTCAACTTAAAAGGGAACTTGAAGTCGTGGATAATTCAGATTGTATTTCCTGGACACGAAATTGGTCCAATTCACTCGCTTTATGCCAAAAAGACTAATCAGTTAAGCACGCACTACATTTCCCACAGGTGTGGCTTGAAAAAAATAAACCAACGCTTATAAACGCATTTCTTAATCCGTTTTGTCCCACAGAAATTCAGATCAGAATATTGCTGTGTCCTAGGGAGATACTACAAACAATTCCCGAGAATTTAGTCTGTTAAAGGATATACAGGATTGTGATAAATTACAGATGATAAAATTGATGTGAACAATCCTAAACTGGACTTATGATTCTTGTAACTCTTTAGGCGATGATAAGTGATCCTTTGCTATAGTTTACTAAAATGGTTTATAAGCAGCTGTGTTTGATAGAATGTATCTATGACTCAATGCCATTTATTGAGGCCTTCCAAATTTTCATTCTCAAATTTGGCATATTTTATTGGCTCGGTTGTTGCAGAAAACACATACCTTTTTTTAAGTTAAGTTCAAATCCGCTACCATAGTGCTCCACCCAAGTGCTAAATTTCGTAAAATAAGCAGCCCAACAATATTCCTATTTGTTGTGCATAAGATCAGAAGTTTATGAATGAATTAATATGACCGCATAATCAGGCATTAAAGCTCATCCCTTGCTCCTCCTTGTAGAGATAGTTGATCCAAATTTACATCACGCAGCAATTCACCATGGTCGGTGGCTGGGCTGTCTAGCCATGTTTCATACGCCTCGGAAACCTCTGCCCTCGTCAATTTTCCGTCGGAGTTTAAGTCCGACTCCGCTAGCAAGTGGTCCGCTTCATTTCTCGCGTACCTCCCCGATTCTATGAAGGAGGAGCCAAATGCATTCTACAATCGGGCATTTGAGTGTCTCAAATAAATCAGCACCATGCTTGATAATAATGGCCTATCACCTCAAGGAAACTACTTAAGAGCTGCGAATTTGTAAAGATAACACGAATAAAAGTGCACATTAGCTTAGGATTGTAGCAACTATGAGACACTTGCAATTAGAGGAATCAAATGGCCTAGAGCGCATGCACCGTTGTTTCAGTTGCCAGCTAATTTTTTTCCCACGTTATGTTTTCAACCCATTTTTTGGGTAACTACGCCAGTCGACTAGAGGACCTTTTAGGAATTTTGACCTTTTTCGTTCGTGTGGTACCGTCATGCCTACCTTCAATGTAATGAAGCCTCAATTCTTCCGCATCTGCGTACCCATCCCCATTTTTATCGATAGACGAAAACTGTCCCTTCTCGTACTCCAAAATTTCATTATCCTTCGAATCTGAAAGGGAAGTATCAAGTATGATTAAGGTATGGCTTGCCCCAATAAATTATGAACTCTACCATACCTTACAAAAGGACATGTGCTGATTTGGTTTTATGTACAGTCCATTTTTTGACAAAATGGAACTCATCCATTTTGCATGCTAATAGATAATGTTAAAAGGTGATAGTTTGTCTTTCTTTTTTTAAAAAAAATAGACAAAAGTCCATCAACACTTTATATTATAGCTAGGCTTAACATTGCCATTATGCCTTTCCATGTTTTACATATTGTCCGTCACGTAAATGCTCTCGGCTTTAAGGTAATCGGCTACAAGTCCATCACAACCCCTCATTATGGCAAATCCACACTAAGGTCAAGTCGAGCTTATTTGGTGAATTTACATGCGACAATGGTACATTAGGAGACCACTTAAGGAGATGTCTACACCTCTTAACCACTTCGTTAGGCATTCATTATGAGAGGGAAAAACTCACTGGCTAGGTATTCTTCTAGTCCCAGTCTTCCATCCCCATTGTAATCCTGGTAGTGCAGCATCTCACCCACAACGTAGGGTGCCATGTGTGGATAGTGGTATGGCGAGTTGAAACCTGCGAGCTCCCTCGCATCCAACCGCTCGTCACCATTCATATCTGCTCTCGTAAACCTCTCTATTTCATCATCTACGGCCTATGTAATAGGAACATGCAAAAAACAACGAAACAAATTATCGTAATAATCATTTGACATGGATTTCAAAGCCTATCGTGCGGAAGTTCCGCGCTTTTGTTCAACTTTTTATTCGTTTTGTAATACAATGGTGGTTCATCATTTGGTATTGGTGAGACGCCACTTTCGGACTTTCAATTAGCCTTCTTGTACCT